GCTAATCTCCACTCCACTTCTATAGAGGGCTACAGCTGAATGAGAAGGGGTTCATGATGTGCTGTGAGGGTTAATTCCAGCATATCTGGAAATAAGAGATATACCTGCCTGGCACTGACCCTAGTCAAGGCAGGAAACATGCTGATTAAGAATGTTGCTGTATAACTGTTGGTGCAAGGAGTTTTAGGAAGGTTTTTACCAGCTTGTCAACATTGTTTATTGATAAGAATGAGATGGATGATTTGCACCTGGTCTCAGTGAAACCTCTGAAGGACTCCGTTGTTGGGTGTGGTTATTTAGCAAGAAGATGTCTATGTGACCAGCAGAGTATAAGAAGCCCCGTCTGAGACTACTTTTGGGGCTCCCTGTTTTCAAGGAGTTCCAGGCATATATGGGTAGTTTCTAATCTGAAACAGAAAGTGCATCCATACAGTTCTTACAGAGAAAGGAAAATTAGACCTCACGCCTGGCTTCTCCAAACCTCTTGTTAGGAAGCAGCCTGTATCTGTGATGCATATCCTTACTTTAACGCTGTTGCTTTTTTGTTTGCTTTCCTAAAATAAACTGTAGATTCTTACGCATTATTTTGGGTCCCGTGAGTCTTCTTTAGCAATGGAACCCTGTCTAACTGCCATTGTTAGTGCACATGACGGTGGTTTTAAAATGGAAAATAGAGGAATTTTCAGAAATGGCTTAATATGGGAAGCCTTCTTGTAGAAGTGAATTTTCAACTGACCATTTAAAAGGTGATATTTATTCAGAAAACTCTTAGAGGGTACTTGTGACATACTGAAAGCCTGCCATGTATTTTCACATATTCCATATAATTTAATATATAGGAGAAAAGTAACAGCAAGAGAGAGCTAGGAAAAGCAGGAAAGAATATTTCAGCTAAAATGCTAAACAAATACTAAGATAAATAGGCAGCAAATACTTGTCTTAAATCAAAGAAAGAAAGATTAAATTGTAACATCAGCTCCCAATTAAATTAAATATTCATTTCGAGCCAGATCTGAGGACTAGCCCAGGGCCTTCCCTAAGGAAGATATCAAAGAAATGGGGGGTACAGAGCCGTTATATACCGTCTTGGAACAAAAAGCGTACATTGCATATGACAAGAATGTCCCCTTTACAATTGTCATAAGATGCTTAGCTGGCACAGCAGATCAGTGGTCACCAGGTCAGTGGTCACAAGGTGAGCACAGCAGGTCGGTAATTAATACTTAGTTCCCAGGAAGAGATGCTTATCCTTAAAGAAAGGCCGATATGGGGAGAAGTTACATCCCAATCTTTAAAGGCATGATTCTCGTCTTTGGGACATTGTAAATATTTAAAGTAGACATACAGTGCATGCTCAACAAGCCAAATCAGACCCTTCTGGAAAAACACGATCATGCCAAATTAGTTTTAACCCAAATGGCTTCCTAATACACTTCAATATATCATATTGCTTTTTATTTATTTATCACTTTCAAGTATTTAAATAGTAGTTTGTTTCTTCCATTGCTTCAACTGTATTTGAATTTTTAATAATAAAATTGTCACGCCTTCTTTCTATTTCACAGTGAAAAGAATAGCAGTGAGAAAAGAACTTGCACAAGCTCCCATGCTCAAAGCTACCTGACTATGAGCATCTGTGCTCACACACTTTGCCTTCTCTCTTAACTATTAGGAACTCTTCCTCCTGTTTAAAACCAAACTATCCCCTCACGAACTGGATCCTATTTCTTTTCATCTTCTCAAGATCATCACTGTTGCAATTTTCTTCTCTCTCTCCTGCATTTTCATTTTACTGCTGTATCATTCCCTTCCCTCCAGTTTATCAACATGTTCTAATTTCTCTCAACTCAAAAATAATTCTCTTTTGATCTTCCATCCCCTTACTATTACCATCCATTTCTCTACTTCCCTTTAGAGTTAGACTCCTCAGAAGGTTTGATTTTATTCACTACCTCCATTTCAGATCCACTTTTCGTCTCTTGTATATACTCCAATCAGGATTTTATTCTATCACTCTACTTGAAACAGCTCTTTGCAGGTTTGCTGGTGAGACCCACATTACTAGATCTACTGGTCAATTTTCATTCCTAATCTCACTTGAACTATTAACAGCATTTTAGGCACTTGATCACTTATTCTTTCTGGAAACACTGTCTACTCTTTCCTTCCAGGAAAACCCATGCTTTTAATTTTCCTCCTACTCACTGAACACTTGTCAATCCCTTTCTATTGTTCCTCCTCATCCTCCTGACCTAAATATTGTGCTTACTACGCCCTCTGCTGGGAGCTCTCTTCTCTCGGGTATCCGCATTGCTTGCTTCCTTATCTCCATCAGGTCTTTGCTTGAACATATTTTCCAAGCTCTTCCTTGACCCTCTCCATTTAAAATCACAGGCCTCCTGTATTTCCTAGCACCCAGCCCTATTATACTCATCTTCACACACTTATGAATGTTACTATCATAAGTTTGCTTTTTTTATTAGTCTATTTTCTCTCTTATCCACCAGAATGCAAGCTCAATGCAGTAGGCATTTTTTGTGTATTTTGTTCCAATACCCAGAACAATGCCTGGCACTATATATATTTGCTGGATGAGTGAATGAGGAGGAAAAGTGTGAACATAGTCAAAATATAAAATAGGTTAAAGTTGTCTTCAGGGTCCTTGTACCACTCGTCAAGACAACAAGATGGAAAATGATCTGATAATCTGATTAATAAGCATTTATTGAGATATCTTCTCATAGCTCTTAATTTAAAATCACATTGAGTATAAACACACACAAGCATATATGTAATATTTATTTCTCCTGGAGGAAGTTTAAGCACCGTGGCTAAGAGATACACAACTGTGCACAGTGGGTTGAAATCCTGATGCTCATTTCTACCTAAACATCCATCTGTTCCGTCTGTGTAAAAGATCATTCTGTAAGGATCAGGCATTTATTGATGAAATGAAGAAACTATAGAGGATAAAAATGAAATGTTTCTGCTTTTTTTATTATGGAGAATAGTCTATTATTCCCAGAAGATGGTAGAACAGTTAGAATATATTTGATTCTTCCTACTTTATATATAAGTAAGTAAACTTTATAAACTACTTTGTAAATTAAGTAAAAGGTCATGCTGGGCCATCATCATGTTATTAAGGACATAGTGACCTTTTTTCCCTTAAGATCTGATATTCATCATTCCCTATCACCTATAATAGTGGTTCTAAATTTTTTAGAGAAGAGTGTGATGAAACTTATCCTTTTTGGGGGAAAAAGGGAAATTTTGAAGAGAATTAGTCAGGAGTTCCATAGGGAGTTTCCAGAATGGATATATCTATGGAAACTTATACTCTATCTGCTGATCTCCTGCTCCCAGTCCAAGATATTATTAATTCTAAAGTAATGCATCTAAGCAGCACAGAGATGAGATAAAAATTATTGTAATCATTGTTCAATAGAGATTGATTCTAAAAGGATTTTTCATTTATTTAGAAATGTATAGTACGTTTTTATGCCAGTAAGACACATAGTATAAGTTGTTTTTCCAGAAGAGATGAGAAATGCCAAGTCTTCAAATTCTGTGCATTGGCTGCATTAATAATGCCCTTAATAAACATCATCATGGCTCAGCATCATCTTTTACTTAGCTTATAAAGTAAGAAGAATCAACTATATTCTAATTTTTCTACCTTCTTATGGAAATAGTTAAAACTAAATTAAAAACCCATTCTTTCCAGCCCTAACTAAACTAAAATAAAATCTAATCTATCTGGACAAAGTATAAGAGTTAGTGCTCAAAAATGGGAAAATATGCACATTGTGCATATTTATTAAGTATTTGGTATTTTTTCTGTGGCCTTTAGATTCACCTTAACTTTCTTAAAGATTTTTAGGGGTTTAAATGAGAAATTGCTAAACCCATCCTTTATCCAGCTCCCAAAGATGCCACTGGCAATACTTCCAAATTTTTGAATCCTTATTCACTTGCAGAAATTCTAGCATATTATATGTTTTCCTAGGTTATGAGATGGGATTCAACCAATTAATAATATTTCAGGTCTTAAGAAACATGCCTGCCTTTAAGATTCCTTCATTTGATACAAATCATTCTAATCAATTTCCGTTATAACTGGTGAGGTACTGCAGTCATTAATGTAAACGTGAAGAAATGAACATCCAGAGAACACCCAAGCATAAAGATTCCAACAGTTCCCCAGAGGTCATCTCATTCTTCTCTGCCTCTATCCAAGTTTATCCTTATAACATGTGGGAAAACTGGAGACTCATAATCTTTAAACATTTTGAGCAAAAACATCCTTTAGCCTTCTTTTGTCATTAATAAAGTATTAACAATTATTGAATATGAACTAGAAATTCTTCCTTCTATATAAAGCAAATACCTCATGGTCGTGCTTTATATCTTTTCCTCTCTACTTTCTATTGCCTCAGATAGGCAAATATAAATATCATTAAACTCAATTATATAAATGATTCAAAATATGCAGGATCCATATATAAGTTATAGTATTAGAGGTACTAGGCGCTAGATAATTGAACAATTTATTTTGCCTCTCATTCAGGCATTTGGCACTATAAAGGCACATTTGACCTTTCTAGGAAAAATAAGTATTTTTTTTTTTTTGCTACTTCTAAGTTCATTCTTTTCATATATGTTGAGGATGTACTAAGTACAAATCGTTAAGATAGAAGCTGGCATATACAAAAGTGCCTGGTGTCTACCTTCATGGCTGGTATTTTGCAAGCATAGGTCACTTTTGGTCTTGGATTGGAGCCCTCCTAGTGATGAATACTTGACTTCGAGGGACTTGAGAGGAGTACAAGTGATTGCCAACTCAGGAATATTGCATTTTCTCAACCTAGCTAAACCACTGAATTCCTCATTAAGTGCTTTTTCAGTCTTTAATGCCAGAACGTCCCTTTATTGGCTGGGTATAACAACATACATAGAAGATGGGTCAAAAGACAATCCTAAAATTTGATCACTTTCTACTAAGCTTCTGCACTCCCCTTCCCTAGCACCTTCTTCATGGCCTCTTTAACGTCTTTGTTTCTCAGTGTATAGATCAGGGGGTTGACACTGGGAGTGATAATTGTGTAGAAAAGAGTAAAGAACTTGCCCTGATCCTGGGAATAAGTGTTTGCCGGCTGGAGGTACATGTATATGATGGTACCATAGAAGAGTGAGACAACAATTAAGTGGGAGCTACAGGTGTTGAAGGCTTTTTTTCGCCCGGCAGCTGACTTGATCCTAAAGACTGCTCCTGCAATATAGCCATAAGAGATGAGGATGAGGAAGAGTGGTGCCAGGATGATAAAGATTGCCAAGGCAAATGCCAGTGCCTGAAGGGTCATGGTATCTACACAAGCCATGCCAATTAGTGCTGGCATCTCACAGAGAAAGTGGTCCACTCGCATGTGCCCACAGCGGGGTAGCATCAATGTCTGGGGTGCCATTATGAGAGAATTGCTGAAGCCACTCAGCCATGCCACTGAAGCCAGCTGCCCACAGAGACGTGGGTGCATGATGACAGTGTAGTGCAGGGGTTTGCAGACTGCAGCATAGCGGTCATATGCCATGACAGCCAGGAGGACACACTCCACCCCTCCCAGAGCCAGGACAAAGTAGAGCTGGATGGCACAACCCAGATAGCTGATGGTCTTATCTGGACCCCAAAGGTTGTAGAGCATCTGAGGGATGGAGCCTGTGGTGAAACACATGTCTAGAAATGAGAGATTGGCCAAAAAGAAATACATTGGTGTGTGCAGCCGGGAATCCAGAGCAGAAAGCAAGATGATGGTCATGTTGCCAAGAAGAGTCAGCAGATAAAAAGAGAGGACAACCACAAAGAGGATCAGCTCTAGGTGGGGACGGTCAGAGAAGCCGACCAGGAAGAAGCCTTCAAAAGAACTTGTGTTGTCCTTTTCCATCACCTGTGACCACGTATTACCTGTTAGGAGAAAGATGAGTATCTGTGAAGAACACAGACATATTCCCTCAAAATGGAATGACTGGTAAAATGGTAGAACAGAAACTTCCTTGGAAATGCTGGATGCTTAACCCAGAATTTCAATAGCTATTAATTAAGTCATTATTTGGTCTGAAGAGCACAGTATGCAGTGGCTTTTCAGGCTCCTGGCTGTGCCTATTTACCAACATTTTGAATCATTCTTTTCAGTTTGGCAGGGTGTAAAAAGTTACTTTCAAAAGCTGATAATCTTACAAGGGAATAAACACTCAAAATTATCCACTTTTTTTTTAAGGGGAAGCGTCAAATTCTAGTCATATGTAACCTGTGGATGGAAATAGTGGCTTTGTCTCTGGATCAGAGAACTAGGCTTGCTGTTAGGTGAAATCTCATTCTAAACATTGTCTCATCAATATTGGGAAACCTAAAGTCATATCCAAACTCAACAGGGTACAAATGATCAAGCAAAATCTTAGGAAGAAGATGACCTCTTTATTGTTTATAGCTATACCTCCGATTCATTCACTCCGTTTACTGGAGCCTGACTCTAACATCTCTCCTACCCCTCTACCCAGCCCTGTCCTAAACCTCTGTGATAAAATTGTTTTACGTCACCAAGGTGTATTTTAACCCTGGGATTGGGTGACTTTTCTGAAGTTGTGAATGCTTTCCCATAAAGATGAAAAAGAGATAATGCATTTCCCAGAAGTAAAGAGTTTCCCAGAACTCAACCTCAATGGAATTGACATTCAATGTTCTTTTAACAGCATTTTCTCTCCTCTTACTCACATTTTATTCTTACAAAGAACTCCACTTCCAGGAAGCCTACATTGATTAGTTTATTTATCTGTGTCTTATGATCCCATAGGACTGAAAGATTTTGTATCTTCTATGATACTTTATACTTCAATTATTTGCCAGTGGTTTATGTCCTAGGGTGAGTGTATTGTCCAATGTTAACCAAGGGCAAAGTCTCATGCTAATATTTTTGCATAATTTCCTAAGCAGTTAAGAAGTAATAGAGTTGTGACTCTTATTAAAAGAGAATGTGTTATATCTCTCAGGTGCATTAGGAGGCAAAATAGGGTCAAATCCACTGCTCTAAGAATGCTTTGCCATAATTGAATCATGCTGTGGCATGTGTTCTGAACAACAGATTTAAGATTTTGTACATTAAAACTTTGACACTTATTGGAGATTATAGGATTCTCAAAGTCATCACTCCAGAGGCTGCAAGAAGCTTCTGTAGTGGTGATGAATGGATGCAATAATATCTAGGTGGATAAACAATCCACTGATTGTATAACTGAGGACTGACACTTTTAACCAAGCCAGGATTAAGGGCTTTCCCTCCACTTCTTATAAAATGGAAATTTAAAAACATATATAATGCTTAAGAAAGAACATATATGTATACACGAATGATCTTGGAGTGTAGCTACCAAACTGATGATAATGGATGTCTCTGGAGAGGAAATTGGATTAAAGACTGTGGCTGTCTCTATATCTATAATGTTTTATTTCTTTAAAAATAGCTGGAAGTTTGATCATAAGGAATAACTATTAATTCTGAATGGTGAGTGTATTTTTTGTCTTTTATCTGTATTTTTTCTACTAGTCTTTGTAAATTTCTATATGTTTAACATCTCAAAATATAAAATAAATATAAATTACAAATTATTTAAATGTTAATGTAACTAATATTTATGGACCTTAAGAGCTAAGCACTAAAGTTTACCATTTGACATAGTTTACCTCATTTCATTCTCAAAGTGACCCCAAGAGGGGTGGGCCCAGGGCCAAGTCGTTACATTGGAGCCTTCTGCTTTGGTGGGCGGGGTTTCGCTGGTTCAGATCCCGGGCGGGGATCTAGCACCTCCTCAAACCATGCTGAGGGGGCGTCCCACATAGCAGAACTAGGACCTACAACTGGAATATACAACTGTGTACTAGGGGCCTTTGGGGAGAAGAAAAAGAAGAAGAAAGAAGTTGGCAACAGATGTTAGCTCAGGGCCAATCTTTTAAAAAACAAAAGTAACCCCAGGAGGTCAACAATTTTGTTATTCAATCTTACAAATTAAGCTCCTGAGGCCAAGAGAGTGAAGAAATAAGCTACCCCAGATCACACGGCTGTACATGGAACCGACTGGAACCCCTGAGGTTTTACTCTAGAGATCACTCCATCAATCTCAGCAATCTCATCAATCTCAACACTCATCAATCTCTAACTATAGACTTAGGCAGCACAATAATTATATCGTCTGCTTATAAAGAAACTAAATAAGTTGTAAAACTGAGACTGCAACTCATTTCTTTGAAAAGAAAGAAAACTCCGCTGCACACTTTCAAAAGAAAACTTTGTTGCACAAAGTTTTCGATAAAGTTTTATTGCTTATAAATTGAATAAAGCAGGTAGCAAAGGTGTAGTCACATTTTTATTCAGGAAATGAGATATGTAGCTAAAATTTGCCTGCCAGGATGTCTTAAAACTGCAGTCATTGGGCACAGAAACTCCGTCAGCGTGAACGTAGGCCTGGCATCCTCTGGCCCTTCCAGAAGGGAGGCAGGGCAGCTGTGCTTGGCAGTGACTCTCTCATTCCATGGTTATCATTACTGGGGCCCAGAACAGGCCACCCCAAAATATCGCACAATAGCAAACTGATTATTTTGAATTAAAGTTATTTAAGAAGCAAAAAGGGCTTTCTGATTCTCCCGTCTTTGTTCCTCCTGAAAGCAGGAAATAAATCTCCTACGTGAAAGGTGCCCTCCTTGCATCCTTATCACCAGAGCTGGGGATTCAGGGCCGAGGAGCCTGCATAGACAAACCTTGCTCATTTACTACCTCCAGCCTAAACTCTACTTAAATTCCTCACTAATTATGTACCCCAAGCCTGAGTTTCTTTGTCCTGTCAATTTTTCACAAATTTACGTTTGTTTGTGTAAAAAATATATATACTGCCTATTTTCACTCTCTAAGCATCATTTCTTTATGGTCTCCAATACGTATGTATTAAACTGGATTTTCCTCATGTTAATCTGGTCTTCTGTCCTAACTGTAGATTAGCAGGAAAAAATATTTGTGAAACTAGTTTCTTGGACAAAAGCAACTCTAGTACTCTTTTGAGGATGCCTCTTGCATCCATTTGTTAAGCCGCAAAAAGCTTGTTGGTTTGAGTCACTAGCAAGATCCCACTAAAAACTTCCACTACCTATACGTTAAACTGGATTTTTCTCCTGTTAATCTGGTTTTGTGTCAATTTTATTATTAGTCCACCCATAAGAATACAAGACGGAAAGAAAGGGGATTTTCCCCCACCCCTACAACATACTCAGAATTTCCTTATGTGTGTGTATGCATATATATACACATATGTATATGTACAGGTATATATACATATGTGTATATATATGTATACATATACATATATATATGCTGGCCCTTCCAGAAGAGAGGTCAGGGCAGCTGTGCTTGGCAGTGATGTGTATGTATGTGTATGAATGTTTATCAACTATATAGTAGAGTACAAACCCAAGTTATTTTCTTTTTTATTTTGTTTTCTTTCTTTGCTTTTTATCTTTTTTCTCAGATCAACCAAAGGACCCACAAAGCCTGAGATCATTCAATAGGATTATTCTCATGAATTTTTCATTCTGATACAAAGTTTTCCTAGTTGCTAAACCATCCATTCACTGTCTGCCTTTCTCTTCATATTATCATATCAATATTCAGTCTCTACTCTTCTTTACCAAGCCTTGCCTTAGTGAGGACTGCCTTCTTGCATCTCTGAACTGTAGTAACTAATTGCTGATTCCTCTGTTTGCCAAGAATATTCTTTTAAATGATATATGTGTGTCTACTCTCCGTGTTGGAGTTCAAAGTTCCACTGTTAATACTCAACACTCACAATTACTGAGAGCTCGTTATTCCATATACTCTCACATGATGCAGGACCATAATTAGTATTTTTAGTCTCAAAACTTTTCAATTCAGTAGATTCCACTGCTTTTTAAATTCATGTTTTTTGGAAAGAACTCCATTAAAGGGTTCAAAGTCTCTCTCTGGCTTCCTCATAGAGGGAGTTACATTAAAGCACAGTCTTTAAAATGTAATCAAGCCTATTCAAATAAAGTGCATAGACATTTAGGCTATGAAGTATTGGCATAATAAATCTAATTGCCCATGATTCAGCAATAGTCTAAGGTTCAAAAACAAAACAAAACAAAAAAGACAGATGATTGGATAGAGGTCTAGGTTACGTTTCTTTCTACACAGGATCATTAACTTACCAAATTTGACTGCAACCTCAGAAATGCCATGTCCACCATTCCTTCTCTTTCTTGGGACTTCACTTGGAAGTCCAGGTGGGATGACCATAGTGAAAACAAGAAGAGAAAAATGACATTTAAGAAATTTATGAGAATAGGAAGGAGATAAAGAGGCAACAGGACCCAGCTGAGCTGAATCTGGATGGAGAATGTTGATAAGCGCACAATAGTTATACCACCTGAAGGCCCCAAATATCCACATACCCTCCTTCCACCCCAGATAAGGAGCCAGATAAGGAGCAGCCTGAAGGAAGCTAGGGTATCTCTGATGTACATTCAGCACAGAGAACACTTAAAGATCAAAGGATTCAAGTTTCAAAAGGAAGAAGTTTTTATGGACTTCAAAGTTGATATAGGATTGGGTATTTCCTTTTCTGCTTCACCCTATGGAATAAAACTTCCTTTTCAAAAATTCCCTTAACTAATTATCTCTAACAAAGGTTGGGAAAGCATACAGTCTCAGAGGAAATATCACTCTTCCCAAGACAAACACACACACAAACACACACAGAGGCACATTATAGATTCACCCAAGAGAGAGACTGAGAGAGAGAGCACAAAATCTTCCTCACTGGGTCTCAGTAAGATCAGTAGTTAGTCATGAACATTAAGGCATGGAAAGTGGCCACCTTATAC